GGCAGTGACGTCACGCAACAGGATTGAACCTGTTCGGCGCGATGCGCGTAAACAACCGCGTATCTCCAATGTAATACTATATGGAGAAACAACTTTTCGCTCTTGCGGGCGTCCTAAGCAGCGGATTTGAGTGGGAATAATTTTAATCAACTCCTCATTACAATAGCTGAGCGTGTACCAATTTTAAAGGAAATCGCTTCGGCCAATTTTTATCTAGGGGGGGCATAGTGAGTGGGAACAGCAGCTTTATATAGAGTAATAATAATAATAATAACTCAGTATTTAGTTGTTGATCTTGCCCAGTAAATGGTACCTGAAAAGGTTGCAGAAACGTTGCTGCAATGTTACTTATGACCTTGACCATGGGTAAAAGTGGTATGCAGACGGTACGTCTACAGAAAGAAGGGCTACAAAAAAAAAGGGCTACCTTTTTTAGTCTACAGTCAAAACGTCTACATTAAAATGCCTACTGAAATTTTGTCAACAGTCAAATATGTCTACGCTATTAAAATGTCTACGGTTTGTTTGCCCACTTAGAAAATGTCAAAATATTTATGTTGGCCACTAAAAATATATAAAATATATTTTTCAAATAAAATATATTTTTCAAATAAAAAAATAAATAAAATATATATAAAATATACATGTTGATATTTATAGGGTCAATTATTCGCGAAATGTGACTTACAATTTTTACGCATCAGCTTCTGCAGCATCCACAGCCTCGTCCTGTCTTTGAGGATGCACTTTCAAATGAGATTCTTTTCAGACGACATAAATACGTACTTTGACATTTTTGGAGTAGGTAGTCAAACCAAAGACATTTCAATACCGCAGACATATTTTACAATAGACACTACTTTAAAAGGCATTTCCAATTTCCATGTAGACATTTTGACTGTAGACAAAAAAAGGTAGCCCTTTCTTTGTAGCCATTTTTCTTGTTGACCTACTGTCCGTAAACCGTAAAAGTAACATTGCGGCAACGTTTCTGCACCTATGGAAAATTCATTAGTTGTGCGTGAATCAATGTTCTACGAAAGAACTTTCATATTAAATTGAAGGAAAATTGAAAATATTTCTTGTTTCAGGGAATTATTGGATTGTCACGGAACTTTCACTAAACTGTCAGTATCAGTTTTGAGTGTGCTCTAAAAACATGTATGAATGGAGCAACTTCAGCGAAATGACTGGAAAACTTCCCCGAATGCACCGCTTCCCAAGAATTTTGTAAATGTGATTTTACCCCGTCTGATGTGCGGCAGAGATTTTAGCTGCTCTTCATCATCGAAAAAACAGTTGTTTGAAGTTGCATGGATTGTATTTGTATTTTCAATGAAGTTCGGATGTCGTATAGGGGGATCACTCGAGTGCAAGATAAAATATATACACCAATTTCATTCCAGGCTCGAGAAATAGTATGTGAGGTAACATTGTAAAGGGCCAAGTATAGTTCTTAAGGGCTAAAACAACTATTATACATTATTTCTCATCAAGTGGTGAGATAAAGTTGCCTCTTCAACTTTGGAACACTTATTTTGAGTTCGATCAGAAGCGAATTCTTAGCTCCGGGCGCGGCGCCTCAAAACCGGCTACGCCGTGACCCCCCTGTCCCCACTCATGGGTCAAAAGTGTGATTTTCTCGTTTCAAATGTGCCCGTAGATGCCTCTCTAAGAGTTGGTCTGGTTTTCTTCATTCAAGCGCATTTTAGATCCAAAAAACGCATTTTCGCAGATCAGGCGTTTTTCCGCCCAAATCAATGTAATTTTGCCCCTTAGTTTTGATCCCTTTGAGCATCAGCTAAAAAAGCTTCAAATTGGCTCAAATTTTATACAGCCTATTATTTTCCTAGGTATCATCGATTGCCACCCGGACCTCGTCGATTTTCCGACATGACGAAAATAAGCCGCACCCTAGGCTGCTCGGTACGGTCTAACGCCAAGTGCCGTCTGATATCCCCCGGTGACGCCGTCTACCAATGCAGCGTCAAGGTGCCAAACCAAATGTCATGGTGCGGTGTCGTTCAGCACGGACCAGAGACCATTTTCGACTGCGCGCCGGCCCTCCGACCAGCGGACCCGGCCGGCAGGGTTTTCATACGCGGGAGGCTCTCCATACGCTGGAGGCTCTTCATTTTCTAGAGGTTCCTCATACCCTGGAGGTTCTGCACCTCAGGGATATTCCCGCCCGGCAACTCCTCAATATACCACGTATTTAGATCCTACTAAAGCCCCTAATTTCAATGTACATGATTTCTTCAGGGACGATCCCTCACTGGATTCCATTTTTGAAAATACAACACCTGCTGCTGCTCTTCTCATTCCACCCCCTGGCTACGTTACAGATGAATCATTCGATGTAAGGGAAATGTTAGATCCTTCGTTTGGTCAAAATGCACCTTCTGACATCCTGGAACTTCCCTTAAATTCTCCGATTCCCACAAGTCCAGTATTCCCTTCAAGTGCTTTGCGTCCCTCGTATGGTCAAAATCCACCTTCGCCACAAATTACTCCATATTCTGGATACATTCAGGGTGGAGAAGGATCCGCTGCACCCAGTTCGCCGCCTAGAAGTTCATCCGGAGTTAGACGGAGTCCATCCGGAGGTGAAGGTACGCATATATTCTTGAATTTCTCCGACAAATATTCTCTGCTCTTTTGTGCACTGGAAAAAAAAAACACATTGGATCTAGAGTCCAGACTCTTGAAAACATTGACAAGAAAAAATACTCTTGATTCAATCGGATTTTAACTTGAATCAAAACGAAATCCGCTTAAATTAAGAGGCTTGGTTCTTGATTTAAGCTAGATTCTGATCGAATCAAGAGTACTTTTTCTTGTAGATGTTTTTAAGAGTCTGGACTCTAGATCCAATGTGTTTTTTTTTCCAGTGTATGATCATTCAAACCCCTTTTGAAAATCGTGAAAATTCTAGGAATCATGGAAAATTACATGTGAAAGTATAGTTAAATGAGGAATTTTTTGAGAAAAACGGTGAATCAAGCGACGGAAATCCGCAGTACACGTTGTTTGGATATCTCTCCCTATCCCGTGAATAGCTGTACACATCTCAACACGACATCTACAATTCTACTTACACAGATCATGAACATGGCATTGGTTTCCATGAAGCGGAAATTTTCGGTACATCCGCACCCCAAAATATTCCACACTTGGATCTAAGATTTTTGGTTGAGGCTGCCGCGATGTAAGAAAAATCCGGAATGTTCGGCATAGTGTTCAGTTTTTCCAAATTGCGGCAGCTGGGACCAAAAATTTGGGCTCCAGACGCCGAGTTTTTCCAAAATTGGACATCGCCAGAACATTTTTTTATCGTGTAGGTTTGAACACTAAAATTGACGTTTGAAGAATACGCAACGCTAAAAATCGGATTTTCCGACTCCCGTCCCTGGATTACCCCTCGCACCGTAACGTATTCGTGAGTTAGGCTTAGAATCCCTCTTCCTTCCTTGAGAGCCACGTATTTCACAAACGACCTCAATGGACCACTAGACAGGGCGTGACAGGGAAAAACGACTCTGAAACCTCTGAAAAAATAACTGCGTGATCAGGAGACAATGTAGTTTCTGAAAATGCAAGAACTAGAAACAGGTTAACAATCTCATTGAAGAGTTTAGAAGACAATTGAGACGAGTGCTGCTTTTTGAACATTTAAATATTAACGAGTTCTACTAAAACTAATCTTCAAATATATTCAGTGAAAAATTCACTAGCAAAATCCAATTTTAAGCATCAAATAGTGAATTTGAAATTTTTTCCCGCTATGAGGCTTCGTATAATTTTGAAACTTCAAACACGTATCTTATTTCTTGAAATGGCTTGAAATTTGCTTATCAAAATTGTGTCACTCACGAGCATTCTGGCACGCAACACGATTTTTATGTATATAGAAGGAGGAACCCAAAAAAACCCGGAATTTCGCTGTAATGTGACAACGATGGAAAATATTCGGGTTCCGCCGCTAGGAGGTGTAACTAGGAGCTATGAAAAGACACTATGCCAAAGAGCGACGCCAAAAACGACCGCTTTTTGGCACAATTTGGGCCAGAAGGGATTTTTCTGAAACCGGGCCCAAACGATACCTTATGATACCCTAAAACTCTGGTAAAAATTTTAGCTTGAGTATACGCACCGTTTTTGAGAAATGGGGAGGCAAAGTTGCCAAATCGCCATCATTCTGGACAGCATTTTTACAGCAAAAAGACGGGAAAAATGGACGAAAAAGTTACACTATTGATGGGTTTGGGCTGTAAATGTTCTTATTGAGCCCCCGTGCATGTAACTGTGTTCAGTTTCAAAAATTTTGGACGTACAGTGGTCCAAAATGGGGAGAAATCGTGGACAGATAAGGATTCTTTGTCAAACTTTTTAAAAATGGAAGTAAAATTGTCGGTCTCCTGCAGAGATCATGTGGAACAATGTTCTTATCGGTCTTCAATGCATTCAATTGAGTTCAGTTTATCAAATTTCCATCGCACAATATTCCAAAATGGGAAATCAGTGGACAAATTAAGATCTTCTGCCTAACTTTTTAAAAATGATGTACGGCTATTGGTCCCCTGCAGAGATCATGGGGAACAATGTTCTTATCAATGCATTCAATTGGGTTCAGTTTATCAAATTTTCATCGCACAATGGTCCAAAATGGGAAATTAGTGGACAAATTAAGATCTTCTGTTGAAATCTAACCTAACCTAACCTTTCCTAAATCCTTAGAAAGGATTTATTGTAAAGTATTATTCTAACTACAATTATTCTCTGACAACTAACTAGGACAAAAACCACCCAGTTAGCCGGATTTTAAGGATCCAAAAGCTAAGTTCCTCCTGAATTACCGTTTCCAGACCTCATTTGTTCAGTTAAAAACAGTGAACATGGCTAGCTTTTATTGGCTACTAACTTATTTTGAATTTACACCTTTCGAATCTTGTGAAAAACCTCATAGTTTCATGTTATTTTTCAAAAATTTCAACAGAAGATCTTAATTTGTCCACTAATTTCCCATTTTGGACCATTGTGCGATGAAAATTTGATAAACTGAACCCAATTGAATGCATTGATAAGAACATTGTTCCCCATGATCTCTGCAGGGGACCAATAGCCGTACATCATTTTTAAAAAGTTAGGCAGAAGATCTTAATTTGTCCACTGATTTCCCATTTTGGAATATTGTGCGATGGAAATTTGATAAACTGAACTCAATTGAATGCATTGAAGACCGATAAGAACATTGTTCCACATGATCTCTGCAGGAGACCGACAATTTTACTTCCATTTTTAAAAAGTTTGACAAAGAATCCTTATCTGTCCACGATTTCTCCCCATTTTGGACCACTGTACGTCCAAAATTTTTGAAACTGAACACAGTTACATGCACGGGGGCTCAATAAGAACATTTACAGCCCAAACCCATCAATAGTGTAACTTTTTCGTCCATTTTTCCCGTCTTTTTGCTGTAAAAATGCTGTCCAGAATGATGGCGATTTGGCAACTTTGCCTCCCCATTTCTCAAAAACGGTGCGTATACTCAAGCTAAAATTTTTACCAGAGTTTTAGGGTATCATAAGGTATCGTTTGGGCCCGGTTTCAGAAAAATCCCTTCTGGCCCAAATTGTGCCATTCTTGGCGTCGCTCTTTCAACGTCGTAGCATCATTTTCTTTTACGAGGGTCATCCAAAAAGTAAGTTCACCCCTTTCATATCTCCGAAACTAAAAGGGATAAATCAAATCGGTAAAAAAGGACTTCTTACTTATATCTTCAGCTCTCCATAGGTACCAAGATTTTTAAATTTGGACCACTGGTTGCCGAGATATTCGATTTTTACGTGAACAACTCCCGGCCAGTTCCGTCCACCAAACGACGCGCTGATATGAGATGCACCGCGCGCTGTCGCGTCGCTTTTGTCTTCTGGGACTCTCAAGGAGTACTTCTCGTCCATTATTTGGAGAAAGGGTGTACAATCAATGCACCACGGTATTGTGGAATATTGAATTCGTTGCGATTGGCAATAAGAAACAAGCGACCGGGTCTCTTGTCTCGTGGTCCCCTATTCCTTCACGATAATGCCAGACCTCACACGGCGAAAGAGACCCAAAATTTGTTGGACAAATTTGCGTGGGAGGTGTCACCTCATCCTCCATACTCTCCAGCCCTTGCCCCGAGTGACTATCATATTTTTCCGCAACTCAAGAAGCACCTAGGTGGCCAGCGCTTCGAGAACGATCAGTGATGGAAGCAGTCAATGGCTGGTTCAAGAGTCAACCAAAAGTGTTCTTTGAGAACGGCATTAAGAAGCTTCAGAAACGCTATGAAAAATGCATCTATAGGAACGGAAATTACGTCGAAAAATAAGGTTAGATTGTTTTAAAGCCAATCTTAGAATATTTGAGTTGGTTATTCCTACGTAGATGTGTGGGGAACACAGTCAATTCAGGTAGCGTGACGGGAATCGCAGCGCATCGTTTGGTGGACGGAACTGGCCGGGAGTTGTTCACGTAAAAATCGAATATCTCGGCAACCAGTGGTCCAAATTTAAAAATCTTGGTACCTATGTAGAGCTGAGGATATAAGTAAGAAGTTCTTTTTTACCGATTTGATTTATCCCTTTTAGTTTCGGAGATATGAAAGGGGTGAACTTACTTTTTGGATGACCCTCGTATTTTGGCGAGACTTGATTCAAGGGGTTGTCTGGCAAGTTCGTCGTTTTTGAAGATGGGTCAATTCGTCGTCTCCCGCACGAAGGAACGTAACTCCAATCCAAAGTTGCCAAATTGACTCCAACAATTAATTTATTTTACAAAAATGTAAGTGTGCAATTTATATCCAAATTTGTCTGATTTTTGAATGAAATCGGAAGAAAAATCAGTGAAATTTTCAGTTAGAAATGCCCAATACTTTTCTGGTTAAAATGCAATTTACGAAAGGAAATTTGGCAACATTGAAATGTAGTTACGTTCTTTCGTGAGGAAAACGACGAATTTCAGTAACAACACTTAGTGCTCAAGTTTTTCTTTCTTACTCAATGGTGCTGTATCGACCGAAACAAAACGCCATTGCCAGTGGATAGAGCCGATGCAAATAATGAAAAAAATTGCATTTTTGTGAATAAGGGTGGTTATAGATCATATAATTAACTAGCAGATATCACTTGAATGTATTACAGAAATATTCAAAACATTGCTGTGAAAAATTTGGGCCTAAAACGCGTTGTTGCCGCATTGATCCCCCATTTAGCGTTCTATAGCCGGTGACTGCCGCTGGGCGTCCAGCCGAAGTTTGATCGATAAATCACACTGTAAAACGAAGAAAAACATATAATCACCTATAACATGAGTGAAACATGTTCCTTGCAAGATTCACTCCAAAAATTGACAGAGTTAGCCGAGCATTACCCGTGAAAATCACCCATCTTCAAGAACGACGAACTCGCCAGACAACCCCTTAAACCAAGTCTCGCCAAAATAAAAGAAAATGTGCTACGCATTTGAAATTTGGCATGGTGACTCTTCATATCTCCTAGTTTCACCTTTTAGCGATGGAACTCGAATATTTTCCATCATTGCCAAGTTACAGCGAAATTCCGGTTTTTGGGTTCCTCCTCGTATTGTGATGGCGGCTTCAACTTCAATTTACACTTATCCAACTTGTCCTGCAAGCCCCTTAATTTAGTATGCGTTTTGGTGCATATCTAATGGCCCACTATCCTCGGCTATATTATCTTTTTTAAATTATATTATATTATATTATATTATATTATATTATATTATATTATATTATATTATATTATATTATATTATATTATATTATATTATATTATATTATATTATATTATATTATATTATATTATATTATATTATATTATATTATATTATATTATATTATGTTATATTATATTATATTATATTATATTATATTATATTATGTTATGTTATGTTATGTTATGTTATGTTATGTTATGTTATGTTATGTTATATTATATTATATTTTTATTGTTATGAGTATCATCGTTTTTTAAGGTGGAGCGCCAGACACAGTGGATTGGAGGTGCCCCGAATGCGGAAAATCCTACCATAACAAAGAGACAATATACGCGCATAAATATAATCATTTCGCAGTTCGCAAAGGCTATACCACGTGCAGGAGATGCCGTAAGGTTTCTGACACTTTATACAGCAATTCAATAATCATATAAATGCACACTTGGAACGTAAGTGCATGAGCCACTCTCTTCATTTTTCTTTCTGCTTGACCCATTTTCGTGTTCGTTGACTGCGGACGAAAGGCTGCCAAAGAAGTTGCTTGATTGGGTTCCTCCTGGGAGGTGACGAAGGGGACGCCCAGTGAAAGGGTGGCGACAGGGTTTTTTTGAAGAAATGAGAGTTTGTCAACTCCCTGAAGGGCTTTGGGAGGATAGGGAACTTTGGCGGCTAGGAGTCGCAGAGCGTCAGAGAGCGCTACAAAAGCGACTTTATACATACATACATACATACAACAAGTCAAAACATGATTTTCCGATCAGGGAATGGCGTCGGCGCCCAAACGTCGAGTTAATGCTCTCATTGTATCTTCATCGAAGTGAAGTCCAAATACTTTGCAAAAATCCGGCAAGGACCTCACTTCTGCCGTGCTAAGGAAAAACGCCGGATGAGCCTACAGGCGTTGCCATATTCTCTTTAATGACCAACAAATTTACTGAAAAATTCTGAATATTTTATAATTGCTCCCAATTTAATCTAAAATATCGGAAAATTTTAAGGAAAAATATGCATAACTTTCTTCAAAAATACACGTTTTATTCAGGGAAATTCGGCAACTTTCGAATGTTCATACGGCGTTTTTCCTTAGCACCACAGACTTGAAGGCAGTGTTTTGAAATTCACTGGAGGAGGCAATGGAGGCATCCAAGCGCCCTCATTCCGGCGTGGCGTGAATTGCGATGAATCGATTGCAATGCAATTTACACGTATGGTAAAGAATCGATTATTAAGGTGTTCGCTGCAAACACCCTGTTTATCGATCCTTTTCCATAGGTTTAAATGGCATAACAATCGATACATCGCAAAGCACACCACGCCACTGCCCTCATTGTTACTGCGTTGGAGTTCAGTCAAAATAGTTCGCGAAAAGCCGAAAACGGCCTCATTTTAAAGGCAGTGTTTGTAATATAGGTGGGTCCCTTCTCTTATCCCTACAACTGTCACCTCTCGAAGGGCGAAGGAAACCAGTGGGAAAAGACAGGAAAAAGTGATTTCTGAACTACTTCCACTGAGTTGCTCCGAGAAACAGTAAAAAATGGATAATTAGCAAAATCTGCTCAAGTTTTCTTTCCGTTTTACGGAACATTTACGATTTTTGAGTGTCTGACACAGGGCGATACTATTGTGCATCTGTATTCGCGATATTTTAGGGAGGAATGCCTTTCGAATTCATGTATTCAGAAAGGATGTCCTAATGGATTACATTATTTTATCGTGGAGCGAAGCGAGCCACAGCGGCTAGTTATTAAAATAATAATAATAATAGTTTTAGCCCCAGTAGTAATGATATAGTATTATAGTAATATATAGTATAATATAGTAGTAATAATAGCCCCAATTTAAGTTTTTAAATCCCCCAATTTTAAGTTTTTTTAACCCAATGTTAAAGTTTTAATCCCAAGTTTCAATTTTTCACTCAAATTTTAAAGTTTTAATCCCAATTTTAAATTTTCAACTTCAATTTTAAATTTAAGGACTCTCCTTTGCATTGAATTGCCGGGGAAGGACTAAATATCTACCGGCCTCGAGCTGTGAATTGAGATACGAGAACAAAATAATAACAAGTTGGTTTTTGCAATCCCTAGCGATAGCAATATTCGTCATGGGAACTTTTGCTTCTGGAATACGAAAATGTTAAGGTACAGTTCGTTTGTAGTATCTTCAGAATTGAAGGGGCTATGTAATTTTGTGCCAACATCTCTTTTTTAACATTTTAAATTTTTTTTCTTCGCATACAAGAAAGGTGTTATTTACCAATTATTTATTTTCGTTGGATTAGATATGGTTTTCGGAAGTTAACGCATTTAACTTTCAGTTCCGCTTTTTCGGCGTAAAGTATGGTATTTTTACTCCACACACATGCCCGAATACGCATCATAAGTGACCTATGTGCTTCCTAAGTTGCCATTTTTTCATTCAAATATATGTAACTGAAATGTTGGATGAGTACTATACTACTTTCATGTCATTGCTTTATTTATTTATTATTTATTTTTTTTTGCGTAGGTATAAATTGTTATTTTGTGCTGAATTTTGGAGGAAATATTGCTTTAAGAACGTGGAATGTAAATTAATTTTATTGATAAAGAAAATACTATCATTAATTTGGGCGAACAGAGAAAATAAACATCAATATTTGGGTCAACATCTCCCTGATTATATGAAGGATGAATATATTAGTATTTCTGTATCAAAAAACTTAGCTTTTGTCTTCAGAGATACAATGATTCTAGTCCAAGTCAAATTTTTTATTGAAAAAACAAAAAAACAAAAAATAAATAATAAAAAAAAAACTGAAATGTTAGACATACTATTTTCATGTCTTTCTATTTGTATCAGTAGGTACTTTTTGCTTAACTTACGAACATTGAATGCAAATTAACTTTATTGAAAAAAGAAAATAAAGTCATTAATTTGGGGGAACATGTGGCTGATTATATGAAGGAGGTATATTCCAGTATTTTTGTTTAACATATTAACTCACGAGAAAATATTCGTACATTTATCATCTAGTATTAATTATTTTTTGATGATTAGTCTAAAACATTCAATACAACCATTAAAATCTAACATTTCCATCGTCGGGTATCGAACTCCCGATCGCCCAATGCCCGCTCCTTTCCGTAAATATGTAGCGACTTAGTCAACCAGGCTATCACGGCTCCGCGGACGAGAGCGTAAAAATAGCATACAAAAGACTCTGACGGTGGGCGGGACTTATCACAAGAACGTCCTCGACGTTTTGTAGCTTCTGGGATATGAAAGAAATGAGCTAAGCGCCTTTCTCTGTGAGACATTGTTTGCCTATGCTATCATGTGTTTCAAGGTTCATCTCAGCATGCATTTGCTATCGCGGCAGTAAGCTGAGGCAATATTTCTGTATTCATGGATTAAATCAATCAATCGAGTTCTGATTTTGGCTCATATATCCGTAACGGGTCCTCCAGAGCAATTTTCCACCTTGTACGATGGTTATTATTTCTTTACTTCTATTTTTCAAATTTGAGGTGGGATAATGGCGGCTTCTCAAGAGCAACGCGGTAGGCGATCTTTTGCAACAACGAACAGAAAACTGATGGCGAAAAATAACCAATCGGAACCTCCCAAAAAAAAGAATTTGCCTAACTTCGGTAATCGGTGGTTCTGCGCAGATTTACCAGTCAGACACGACATCTCAAGGCGAAAAAAAACTCGCGGAAAGCAAATTTCAGAATTCTACACAACTTGACGTAGAGACATAATTGGCTAAAAAACACAACGATTTTTGATACATCAGAAAATTAACCAAAGATCGAAGACTGGGCGATTCGCTCAAGGTCGCAGAGACATAGGGAATCACATAGCAAAAGCAACGGAACGATTGTAAATTCATGGGAAACTCCGTTCCCATGACAATAGTAATTGTCTCTGGTTATTTCAGAGGAGGGAGTCTGGGTTTTAACGTGTGACACGTGTCATCTTACTTTCAAATCAGAGATTTCTCTTAGGAAACACGAAGCGGAGAATAATCATGGGATAAATCGTCGATCCCTAGCGTGTACTAAGTGTAAACGAACTTTCGAAAACCAGGAAGCTTTGAGCTATCACCAATGGATTCATGAGGCTATTGTCATGGGAACGGAGTTTCCCATGATATTAGAATCGTTCCGATGCTATCGCTATGGGATTCCCTATACCTCTGCGACCTTGAGCGTTTCGCCCAGTCTTCGATTTTTGGTTGATTTTCCGATGTATCAAAAACCGTTGTATTTTTTAGCCAATCATGTCTCTACGTCAAGTTGTGTTGATGTCTAAAATTCGCTTTCAGCGAGTTTTTTTCCACCTTGAGATGTCGTGTCTGACTGGTAAATCTGCGCAGAACCACGAAGTTCCGATTTTGGGCAAATTCTTTTTTTCGGGAGGTTCTGATTGGTTATTTTTCGCCATCAGTTTTCTGTTCGTTGGTGCAAAAGATCGCCTACCTCGGTGCTCTTGAGAAGCCGCCATTATCCCACCTCAAATTTGAAAAATAGAAGTAAAGAAATAATAACCATCGTACAAGGTGGAAAATTGCTCTGGAGGACCCGTTACGGATATATGAGCCAAAATCAGAACTCGATTGATGGATTTAATCCATGAATACAGAAATATTGCCTCAGCTTACTGCCGCGATCGCAAATGCATGTTGAGATGAACCTTGTGACACATGACAGCATAGGTAAACAATGTCTCACAGAGTAATGCGCTTAATCCGTTTCTCTCTTATTACGCTAGTGGCCGAACTGCCGAAATCTCAAGGACGTCTTTTGTGAAGCCCCGCTCAGCGTCCGAGATCACTTAACTATTCTCTTTTTCTCCCACCATATCCGAGCGGCGAGATAGCTCAGTTGGCTACGATTCCATTCTGACTCTGGGAGAGTGCCACTTTTTGTGCGAGCGGGGGTTCGATTCTCGTAGGGGACAGCTAATTTTTACTGGTTGTATTGAATGTTTTAGACCAATCATCTAACAATAATTAATACTTGGCAACTTAGGAAGCACATAGGTCACTTATGATGCGTATTCGGGCATTTTAAAGATCAACTCAATACCTATCGATTAAAACCAAGATCAGCTCAATCGAATAAAAATTGACCGAGTTATGGCAACTTGAAATCAGCGAGGAAAGTTTACCCCTACGGTTTTTAGGAAGATTTTTCGCTTACCAGGATTCAAAAAGTTAATATTCGTATCCACTTTCCTCCGAATCTTCCATAACTTCCTTTTGCTTTTCAAAGTACCGTCCATCAAACCGGGTGCACTTTTTCATGCGCTCTTGCCACTTATCCAACATTGTTTTCCTGAATTCTTCCTCTGGGATGGAGTTGAAGAAGTTTTGAATTCTGGATTTCGGTCTTTGATACGAATCTTCGTCCGCGAAGCTCCTTTTTAAGCGTAGGAAACATCCAAAAATCACATGGAGCCAAGTCAGGGCTGTTTTTCTTAGTTTTTAATAAGAAAAATATATAATTACGTAGTAATTATAAATAAATACCAAAACAATTCTCGGTAGATGTCAAAGACTGACTGAAAACTTTTATTAACCTCTTATGAGAAAATATACATTTTATCAGCTGACACTGACATTGTTGTCAGATGAACAGGGCTATAAGGGGGATGAGGGATTGTTTCAACTCCATTTTTACTCATAAATTCACGTGTTAAGCTCGATGTGTGAGGCCACGCATTGTCTTGATGGAGTATCCACGAAGCTTTCAAGTCCGACCGTTTCCGGGAAATGTTCATTCTCAACTCCTTTAGTACTTTGCAATAATACGCACTGTCAACTGTTGTGTTTGATGGTACAAAATGTTGATAAATGACACCTCGAAAATAAAAAAACACAATAAGCATCACTTTATCGGCCGACTTTTCGATTTACGGCGATGAAGAATCTTCCTTAAAAACCGTAGGCGTAAACTTTCCTCGCTGATTTCAAATTGCTATAACTCGGTCAATTTTTATCCGATTGAGCTGATCTTGGTTTTAATCGATAGGTATTGAGTTGATCTTTAAAATGAGATCAAGATCATGTCTGTATCTATCTTACTTTCGAAGTTACAGAACAAGTCCCGGTGCTTTTGGGACACCTTATGTATACTTTACGCCGAAAAAGCGAACCTGAAACTTAAATGCGTTGACTTCCGAAAACCATATATAATCCAACGAAAATAAATAATTGGTACATAACAGCTTTCTTGTATGCAAAGAAAATAATTAAAAATGTTAAAAAAGAGATGTCAACACAAAATTACATAGCCCCTTCAATTCAGAAGATACTACAAACGAACTGTACCTTAACATTTTCATATCCCAGAAGCTAACGTTCCCATGACGAATATTGCTATCGCTAGCGATTGCAAAATCCAACTTGTTCGTAATTCAAAACGCCTCGAGTGCCTTCAGGTCTTTGCATCGGCGGATCACTACAAATGGCACTTCCAAGCTAAACATGGATCAGGTCAGTTCATATATACTGTCGTGCTAAGGAAGAACGCCGTATGAGCCCTCAGACGTTGCCAAATTTCCGTCAATAAAAACTTAATTCACTGGGAAAATTGTGATTATTCTCCCTTCAGTTTTTTTGAGAAAATTTTCTTCGCAATTGTGTCTAAGACGTTTGAAAAATTCCAGGGGAAAAATGCATAATTTCCCTCACAAATACGTATTTTATCCGGGACAATTTGGCAACTCTCGAATGTTTGTACGGCGATTTCCTTAGCACGGCAGTTTTAAGATTAATGACCAGCAAGACTGATATAGCCCGAAACAGCGCAACTCGCTAAGGCGTTGCCTATTTCCCTACCATGTTTTAATTTTGCATCAGAAACCCAAGCAACGTTCTAACTTGAAATAATTATGTGAAAATGTTTCTGAAATGACAGATCTATGAGAAATTCATAAAATGGTTCGGAGTAGCATTATGTTGTTTTGTCGTGTGGCTATATGTTAAAAAAAATAAATATTTAGAACGCATTATACAGAACACCGAAATTTTTTGGGTTTGAGAAAGGGAAGCTTTTCAGCGGTAAGCGGATCCCAAGTTTGGTTCTTGTGACCAGTGGCGTGGTGTGCTTAGCAATATATTGATTGACAAGGTGGAGAAATGGTGCTGGGTCCACACCATTTCGCGGGGAAACAAAGCCAAGAAATACCAAAAATTAAAATTAGAGTCAAAAATAAATTTTTAGAACTCTAATGCGCACCAGTACGAAACTGAGGGGGGGAGAGTGTTCAGCTCAGGCAGTTTGCAATGGAATATTAAATTGGAGTCACGCCGAGAGATCTTTACCGGTTTGGGCCTTATTAGACCTCATCAGATGATCACACTCGGCAGTGAACCCAACTTAACATGCCGCAAAATCCAAGACGGCATTAAAATTTTTCTCCACCTTGTTATATACAGTTTTGGGCCGCTTCTTAGTGTTTAATTTTCTCATTTATATTGATTGATCTGCCATTCAAACCTATAAAAAGGATCAATCAACAGGGTGTTCGCAACTAACAATTTATTAATCGATTCTTTACCACAGCTTCAAATGGAGAAATATCGATAATCGATCATTAATGCCTCGCCACTGCCTATGACCAACCCATTATGTGTTATACCAGAACCAAAAAAGTTCAAATCTTAATTTGTACCAAACCCGTGTTCGAAACTCACCTCCAGGTTTTAGGAGCCAAGTAGCGCATCAAGCCCGATTTTTAGGGCCATTGAAGATTTTTAGGGGCCAAATTGACTTTTTGCCGATGTATTACGGCGCATTTAGTGAAAAGTTAGATGCAAGATGATTTCGTAACAGAACTAGTAAGTAGCTGTAACTTGGGGAAGACAAAAGCACAAAGGATGAAATTATTAAAATGGAAAAAGCTAACACTTATAGTGCTGAAAATTTCGAATAATCACCTGACAGGAAAATTCAGATTTTTAGGGGCCACGTTGGCGCAGAGCCTTCATTTTTTAGGCACCATAGCCGATTTTTTAGGCGCATATGGCGCGTTGGCGCCTGTGAGTTTCGAACACTGTACCTAACTTTTTTCCGAACTTTTCAAGGTCTCTCGAGTAGGGCTTTTATTTGTCGGATTTCTTGTGAATGAAATGAAATGATTCATTCATTGTTAACACCTAGTTCTGCTAATATAGGGCTAAATGAAAATTCAAATAAGGGAGGCATCGATAGCGCTCTTGTGATTCATTTCCTCTTTTACTTTTGGTGGATAAATTGAAATGTTTGCTTAGTTTTTGAGCCTCGTCTTGGTGAGGAGAAAAATATCAACCTCGAAAGGGGGATCCAAGATGGGCGCGAGCGCTCCTCCCCTTTGACGGGGCACACTGGACCGAGTCAATACGAGAAGACGGACAAATCTGGAAACTTTGAAACCTTATATTTTCGAAAATATGAATCATAATAGTCCAAGAATGTTTTTCTTTTTTTTTAAAATAATAATAATAATAATAATTTATTGATTCTCTTGAGATGAAACAAAAGATCAAAAAGTCAAACATTTTTTACATCTAATACGCATAATTTTCTTGCTCTAAATATTCTCCAATGTTATGGTATACATTTTCCTTGCAAAATTTATCAACTCTTCTTTTGAAGATGCTTCTTTCTTCAATTTTTGTTTTATTGGGTTTTTCGTGAAATTTCTCTCAGAAGCATCCCTTAAAATGGAATTCGTGACCACAGAAATATCAAAATTCAAAATTTTAGCCAAAAAATTCATGTCCCACCTCTTCTATTAGCTCGCTTCACTGTGCGGCGTTGTGATGGCTCCTTATTTCTTGCCTAAAATGTTTAATACAATGAATTGGACGTATTTCTGCCAAACGGAACTATGAACATTTAAACATGAGCCCTGAGACCCATAAAAATATATTCGTAGCAAGGTTCACGTCATAATGCACGTAGTTCCGTTTGGTAGAAATACGTCCAATTATTTCTAGGGTTGTTAAAACTTCGTCTTGCCTTAGCAAGACGAAGCCTTTAGCTAAAAAAGCTGTAAAGCCATACAGCATCCCTCTACTTACCTTCCATATGGTAATTTCTGATTTGTTTGTTTTTTGCAGGTGCACCCCCTCTCAAAATACCCGTGGGTAAGTACGAATATGAACCTATCTCTAAAAATCTTGTGATGAGTAACAGATCAATTTCCCTGAGAACTCGTATTGGTGTGAGCGTTATTGCGAAAAAGAGCCGATTAAGGGTGTGCGAGATAACTAAGGGACGAGATAAGTATTTCCAAAACCATAGCTGCAGAAACTTTAAACGAAAATCTCTGACTAAATGCCCCGATAGGTCTGCCGCAGCCAAGAGATGCACTCAAGTAAGTAGTCTCACTAGGAGAAAAATTCCACGGAAATCACAACGGAATCAAACAGGGCTGCAATCCACTCCATAAGGCGCAACCTACGTAGTTTATAACCCGTTTTTTCCAAGATTTGCGCGTCTTCGGGTAGTTTTTCTCAGTTGCCGGTGGCCAGATTTACACAAACGGAAGTGTAAAAAATCCTAACCTGAATGAACAAACAATTTCGTTAACTTTTTCTGGTGTAAGACTTCAATCGTTCTGATATGAAGCGTTTGTTTCCTTCTCTTTTCATTGTTTAGCAAGAACAAAAGCTTTGCCTCAACTCAATCTTAAGTTTTACAGGTCGAGAGATTGTTTGTTTATTTAGGTTGTAGGTTATTTCTCGTTTTTTCCCGGGCAAACTTTCTTGCCGGTCACTAAAAAAAAACCGCCCGCAAGCACGGTAAATTTGGAAAAAAATCTTGTTCCAAACCACGCAAATTGCGCGTCATGGAGTGGATACCAGCCCCCTTTTTTCTCATAAATAGCGTTTTTCAATGTTATTGTGTATTTCTTCTCTCACAAATAAGATTTTTCTATGTTAAAGGCCGTTATGTCTGCGACATTTGCGGAGATTCTTTCGGTGCTCCCGGCTATTTCAAAGGGCACCTGCAGAGCCACACAGGAGAGACGGTCTGTCCCATATGCTGGGCATTTAATTCATCGCCGGCTAATAAGACCAAGCATTTGGCAAAACACCACCAGGGTCCTCGGAATCCCTAAAATTGGAATCTGTAAGGAACTAGAAGATTTTGGAATCGGAAAAACGCGATCTACATACATAAAAAATCATTTAATATAAGTGTAACACTCTAACAGTGTGTATTATTAGTTGTAAATCTTCGTCAATTAAGTACCGAGGGTATGGATTTGCTCGAAAAATGAAAACGTGATTAGATCGACAAATTATTAAAAAACATCAATTATTGGCTGCAACTACCTCGTTATTATTTTCATTGATCCTAACTGCTAACCGCAACATGTTTAATTATTAAAAATCAGTTGTCAATTTGATTTAGACCCCCTGCTCAAACATGCTGGAAAGTGTGGGGACTCACGTGACAAAATTGCAGACAGTGTTGTGGTTGTTGCTCTGCAAAAATTGCTGGACTGTCGTTTCAACTGTGAGCGCCAAATTTTCCTAGGCCTCGACAGCGGGAAGCTTGCAGGGATCCCGTGGGGTCCCCCACTCAGAAAGTGGTAGGGGGTGCTCTTGGGGCCATTCGCCACCGACCCTCTTTAGCCATACCTGCTGCTCCTCGGCCGTGTCAACATTCGACTGTTTTTGCATGGAGGAGTTAGGTGCAAAAATGGCCCGAATAGCAAAATCGAGATTCCAAAAAACAGCGATCGAATATTTCATTACAGTACCAATTTGATACATTATCAGGTATTGCATTGGCTGAGGTCAAAAAAAGTTAGTCTATATCCTCGAGTTCAAGTTGGCACGAGAGAAACATAGAAAGATATTGTTGAAAATGAGAAAAAAAAAACCGAAATGATGTATTCTCGTAGTTTGTGCATAGTCTGATTTGCAAAGTACATTTTGTGTTTAAATGCCTGATACTAAGACTGTTTTTGCTAAAATCAATTTTGACCTTCATGGGATGCAAATTAGAATATTTCAGAGAATAAAAAATTAAAGTTTTCGCACACATACATAGGTTTTCTATGAAGTACTGCAATAATCGACTTTTAGAGCGAACGGAAAATGAAAAAAAAATCGGTGCGCATATTCGTGTAGACGGAGTCAAAACCAAAAAAAAGAGACCTTGTTCACGCAAAAAAGCGCATGGCGTCACTCCTCCCGCGGTTGTCATTTTCCAGATGACCCGCTCGGCAACACTGGAAAAAAAACACATTGGATCTAGAGTCCAGACTCTTGAAAACATTGACAAGAAAAAATACTCTTGATTCAATCAGATTTAAGCTTAAATCTCAAGAAAATCCGCTCAAATTAAGAGGCTTGGTTCTTGATTTAAGCTTAAATCTAATTGTTTCAAGAGTATTTTTTCTTGTCGATGTTTTTAAGAGTCTGGACTCTAGATCCAATGTGTTTTTTTTTTCCAGTGAATGTTACACGCCAAGGTTACCAAGTCACTCGTTAAGGAAACTATGCTACACGCACAGGATACACGTATGCGCGTAGCATAGTTCGTTGCGCCCTGATAATCGATCCTTTTCTATAGGTTTAAATGATAGATAAGTCGATTCATAGCAAAGCTCGAACTGCCACTGGCTGAATTAACAGGGCAAAGGTGTTGTGACTTTTGGAAGTTTCCAACACTCGAAGCACGCAATCAATCATCAAAGTCAATTGCACCAAGGGTTGTGACTAATGTTGCGTGAAGTGCCTAGTCTCTGCCGGTGATAGGCGCGCAGTCTAAAATCATAAGAGCTTTTCGCACCGAGTCTGGTGCTCGTAGGGAAAAGTCAAGTGTGAAACTTACTTTTAATTTTAATTTTCTGCCGTTATGCTAATACATAGAGTAATTGGACTCGAGATGTAAATGGGAGAGCTGGCGCCATGTTCTGCTCGTCGTTTACATTAGAGACCTGTATACGGGAGAGTATTGCTATCTCTGTGCCGCTCACTGATTGGTTCATCAGTTTTAGTTTATCATGGAGCTCCAAAGTTGGAGCAATGTAAACAAACCTGACCCAGAAGAATACGTATTATCGGCTGAAATGAATGATAATCACACTCCAAGGTTCATTCTCGGAAAAAGTATCTATTTAAGGTCGACCCGAACTCAATTCAGAAGTTGATCGTAAAAAAATTTCTATCACGTCTAGAACTTTGTAGGACTTGGTCGCCATCTTGTTTCATTACATTGGTCCAACTTTGGGGCTCCATGATAGACGACCAATCAGAGAGCGGCACACTTTTTCTGTTGTAAAAGGATTTAGATGGCAATCGGATGGTCAGGTACCCGTGTAACAATCGATGATGTATTGAAAAAGTAACCCGGCGGTGTCGCACACGATTCTCGGAAATCGGGATCTGGAAAACGCTTAAAAGTGCGGCGCCAGCTCTCCCACTTACATCACGACTCTATGTACTCTATGTGCTAATACGAGCCGATTTCTGTTCAAATCCGTCTTCCATGTCTGTAAAACTGGGAAGTTGTTTCTCTACCGCTTCTGAACTTTACCTGCAGCCCTGTGGATTTTGCGAGATAACGTTCAATATATTTAGAAATCTGCGAAACATAAATCAGATACTGTTAATTTTTATTTCAGTCTCAAGCTGTGCATTTGAATTTCCATCGGAAAAATATACATGTGATTCTGGGCATGAGAATCAAACTTCTTTGTGCACTTATGATGTTGGAACTTGTGATTTTACAGGAAAAATTAAATCACCCTGAATCAATGTGAACCTATCTCTTATCATTTAAAGCTGTTAAGTCAAAATCTCATTGTAATTAATTAATCGTATCTCTCAAATTAATCGTATCTCTCAAATTAATCGTGCAATATTCTCATCGAAGCCTTCAATCTCAATCCGTCGTCTTCCGGATGAAAGAACGTAACTCGATTCCAATGTTGCGAAATTGACTCTTACGATTCAATTATTTAAACAATTTACGTCTGTGTATTGTGTCCAGAATTTTTTGGATTTTTTTATGAGATCAGCAGAAAAATTAGTGAAATTTGCAATTAAAAATTTCCAAAATTCTCCAGGTTAAAATGCAATTTGCGTGGGAAAATCTGGCAATTTTGAAGTGTAGTTAGGTTCTTCTGTGAGAGAAGTGACGAATTAAAAGATGACGTCATGCCATGAGTTACCGGATGTTGCCATGAACTACTCCATACATGACTCTCTTTTATTTCACTTTATCTTCATTGGGCTGGTGGCCCAAAAGTGTACGTCGGAGAGTGGGGGGTAGTGTAATTTGAGACAAAAATTAGTCGTAAAAATGATTTTAAGCTCATCCTCTTAGAGGAAAAAATAGACGTAGACCCACGTAAAAGAATCGAAAAATAATGCAAAAACCGTTCGGGCACAGCCACTTTTTCTCCCATTTTTGTATAGACGCAAAATGTAACCATCCGCTAGCAAAAAAGAAAATGAAAGTTGTGTCAAACCACAGTCTGCGAATCGCAGCTTGACCTTCAATTTGGCTGAAAAAGTCGATACCGAGAAGTTGCTTGGCAAAAACACATGTGATGAAGAAAATAAGTAAACAAAATTGCAGCAAAATTACATTTTTTTCGCCCCTTTGAAAAATGTCAATTCACTCTAGCATCATTAACGTCGAGAGCTCTGCACTGAAAAAAAAAGTTCGGTGAATCCGAACTAATTAGGATCGTATGGAACCACGATTTTGTTCGGTACACACGACCGAATTATTCGGTCTGCTCAGCCGAACTGTTCGGTCCACTGAACCGAACTGTAAGAATTTATTATGGTTCGGTCGCACAAACCGAACAATTCGGTTGAACAGACCGAATAATTCGGTTGTGTGTACCGAAAAAAACCTGGTTTCATATGATTTAGGATCATATGGAAATAATATGGATCATATGGATCGGTAAATCCGAACTAGTTAGCTAGTTCGGATTTACCGAACTTTTTTTTTCAGTATGGAATAAACACTTGGGCCAGTGGAGGGGGCCTACGAAGGGGGGCGGGCGGGGGCGTCCATGCGATAACAAATGTTCTTAAATTTGATACCGAAATCAAACGCTTAATTTGGCAGCTGAATATGGAAGTCAACAGTCATCGCTCAACAGCTAAAATTTCGCGGATTCGAGCAACACCAACTAACAACATACCATCCATCGATGAATAAGGTTATGCCGAAGTTAGGCAAAACATTTCAACGGTCTCTTATGGAGGAAAGCTAGAATTTTAAGAAAATTTATGATTTCCCCGGTAACGAAAGTTTTGGAACTCTATGAAAAGCTGACGAGTTACGTAGAGAACATTGTAGTAGCACATAACATCCATCTTAGTGAAATTATCCCGTATTTTTCATCGTTTTTCACCTAGTGCCAAGTGTTGTTTCCAAGTATTTTGACTATGACTCCTGTTTTCCCAGCCTTTCCCAATGGCAATCATCTTGCGAATCATTTGTATGATCATAGTAATCTTCTTTGCTTTCAAAGTAATACTTTAGCTGCAGTGAAGAAGTATTCTGTCTCTCAACCTTGATTGATTCTGGAAGTATTCTCACCGAAAGTCGCGTTGTTTTGGTCAGGATTTTATTTGTATGCGGTACCAAGATCTTTTCCAGTGTTGACTTATATTATTTATTGCTGTGCTTCGAGTAAATATACCATACCTTTTTTCAGCATCTTATTGGTCAGCCTTTTTCAGCATTGATTCGCTATTATTAATTGACGTAAACAGTGAAGTTTAGTCAATAATAATCTCGTATGGAGAGCTGAACTCCTCTTCTGTGACCATATTCTCCTGCTATAAAAATCATCATGCTGCAAAATGGAAGTACCTGTCTTACCTACACATCAACACTTCGATGGTGTAAGTCCGCAATCACATATCTCATTTGGGTTGTCTGAAAATCTCCGCCTCTATGTTATTATCTTACAGGAGAACAAATTGACACCATTTCTTGAAGTTTTTGCAGAATTTTTTTCGCACGGACAAGAAAAATCACGGCAGTTTTATAGAATTGCTGTTGAGTAGTTTTCCATTTCAGAATTAAAGTATTACAGGAAGTCAGCCACGTTGCAAACCGAGTTGTGTGATTGCCGACTTACACCGTCAATTTGTACGATTCGCGCTTGCTCTCAGTTAAAATTTTAAGTGTTTACTCAGCTTAGTTTACATTCTTCAACATTCTCTCCAAAATGTGGATACCAAAACATCTAAATAATGCGATGGATCATTGTTGTGGTTGATGGTGTTGCAAAATTTTGGTTTAAATTTGATTCCTTTCTTATCTGATACCGCCATCACATGCTGAATGTGAGAGTTGAATGTGCCTTGAATGTAGAAGTCATCAGATCAATGCTTCATAACAAAGATTTACATCGAATGTATTTAAATAGTTCAGACAAACTGATTACTGCTGAGCTCGGATCTTCATCGGTACCCTAAATTTTGCGCCTTAAATGCAAAATTCAGGCATCGGTGACTTCCACATTCAGGAAATTAGGCAGGCGTTACTTACAGAGGAATATTTTGAGAGAGACAGAATGTTTCATTATTGAAAACTTCAAAAGAAATTTAACATGCCCTCACTATTTTTGAAAATGATATTATTGATATCTAGCGAATGAAATGGAAATTAAGACATAGTTTGAGCATTAAAACATAGAACTTATGCTGTAGCATATTATGACTTATTCTTTTCTTCCTAGTTTGTATTTTTGAATGGTTAAAGTCACACATGACTTGCAGGATGAATTTGAACGGTCATTGTCTACGGGCCATATGGACATGGAATGATATTCACAGCTAGGGGGAAACAAACTGAGTGACAAAAGGCAAGATATGAGCAAGATTTTAGAAGGCTTTAATTGATAAAATTTCATTTTCATTTTACAACAAAATCGAGGGCAATGGTGACACACTCTTGCTAGGTGATGTGACAGAAACTAATCATAGATGAACAACATTGAGCATCACTAGACGTAGACAAGTTTAACACATTACATTGAAGATTTGAATTCACATATCATGATTGCTGGATCTTCTACAGTTCGCCAACTATGCAGCTTCTGTGAACACAAAAGATACTTTCCTTAGAAAAAAAATCATTGTATTTTTCAAGTGAAGACAGTGCTCTGCCTTCTACAGGCAAACCATAAAATTACAGGACTGGGTCATTGTGGCGCCTAAAAAAGTTGACGTACCAAAATTGAATGCGCCATAATGAATATGCAAAAAGTTAATTAGGATCCTAAAAAATGAGTTTTATCCCTGCAAAGGTGTCGCCAACGATTGAAAGGGGAGGCAGAATGCTGAGAAATATTCCAACAGTTATTTACAGCAGACACCTGATATGGTGTTTGCTCAGTGTTTCCATTGAGTCTTCAATTGACTTATTAGAGAATCTTTTAAATTGTCAGTACATGGAGTAATTCACAATAATTACAGCAATATTAGTGGGTTGTTTCCTTGTTGGACTTGCACTTTTTGAGCAGGAGCGCATCATGTAATTTTAATGCATGCAGTTTAGAAAATAGAGAAAAAGTCTGGAGAGTAAAACGAGGTTTTCTACTTACACATTAGCGAAATGCTGGGCTTGAAAACATGGTGAGCATTTTCATAAGGAAAAAGACAGGTTTTCAACGAGTGATTTGGTGATTGTTACTTTGAATAGTTATCGATGATTAAGAAAATATTTACAGTCTGCCGATTATGCAGCCTCTGTGAACAAACAAGGAAATTTTTTTGGAAAACAATTTTAATATCCTTTACATGAAAAGATACATTTTACTAGGTATTTTATGCAGAAACCTGACACAGTGTTTGCTCGACACTTCCATTGAGTCTTTAAATGACTTGATGATGAACCTTTTAAATTGTCACTAGGTGAGTGGAGTAATTAACAATGATTACAGTAACATTTATGAGTTGCTTCCTTGTTGGACTTGTGCTTTTTAAGCAGGAGCGTATCATGTAATTTAGATGCTTGCAGTTTAGAAAATAGCGAAAAAGTCTGAGGAATAAAAAGAGGTTTTCTACTTACACACTAACAAAACGCTGTGCTTGAAAACATGATGAGCAGTAAATTTGAAGTCTTCCATGAGTCCTGCAGTCCACGGCTGGAGCGCGTTGGGATCGGAGTGGAAAAACAGCATTTTCTCGCACTAAAACTGAGAACTTAGAGCACAAGAATCGAACACATTTTAACGGTGAACGCGCACTAATAACACTAAAGATATGACGTTCAAGATAAGAGCTAAGAATCCGCATCAATGACATTTCTCCGTTGCACTTCTCTCTGAAGGATCACAAAAAAACCGTTACGACTCCGTACTACAGGACCCCGTTTATTACGAATCTGAGAATAAATCCGAGCTGAATTATGTACGATATAGTGCTCTGTAACGCGCTCGACATTCTAATAGAATATTTTAAACCTAAAATGTTACTATAATAGAAAAAAACTTTAAAAAAATCGAGGAAATTCAACCGACGATGCTTACCCGAAAGGCCGATGTTTTTAACTAACTCGTCCTAACCTCCAATATTTTTCCTCATCGCTGGATGGTATGTTGTTAGTTGGTGTTGATTCGAGTTATTTTTATCCAGGTGTGTGTCACATCTATTCGAATAGTTCAGACCCGACATTATCCGATGGTCGCTGAGAATCGTTGCTACAATCGCAAAATTCAGGCATTGGGCCGATGACATCCACATTCAATAGTTCAGTCAATTTAGCTCTAAATAAGGCTCATCTGGGAAAATCTATACATTGAAGGTTTTTTGCGGAAACAAGTTGCAATAGGCTACCAGAACAGCATAACAAAATTTTACCGAAAGCAGCCAAATGGTCTTCTTTAGGATAGAAACATTCCCAAAGTTTCGTTTTTCTACCTCTAACTGTTCTAAAGTTACAAGGGGGTACCGACTTTTGAGACACCCTGTATATAGATTTTCTCAGAAAATTGCTTGATTGACTGGACCACAAGCCACATTCACCTCCCACATTCAGCGTGTGATTGCGACATGAGTCAGCCGCTTTTCGTGGCGACTTTTTATTCGTTAGCCAGAATGGGAGCGCATGTCTCTCTTGTATTTTTCGAGGGATTTTTTTCCGCCACGTCTACGTCTAACCATCACTTAGGTGTAGCCATTCTTTACTCTATGGTCTCCTCCCTTTGTGAGTGTTCTAATGTATATTGAAGCTGTTTTCTTCTGAGACCAAGAAGCAGTCCCAATCACTGGTGGACTGGAGAGGAATTCTCATCAAGGATGAAGCCCAAAAAGTGCTGGTACACACGATACGTTTTGACGCTTTTTACTTTGATGTTACTTCACAGTCATGGAGAAGCGGTAAGAAATAACACAAACAGTCATTCATTTCCTTAGGCTGTTTAACAATTTAACTTCAAATTGAAGTTTTTGCATTTTCCTGAAATAAAATGAAATTTTTTTTGTGTAGATAAGAAGAGAATCATTTTTACATTACTTCAGTATATGGTTGACAGTACAATAAAAGAACCGAGTTCAATACTGCCGGGTTAAAGGACATATCGTCGACGATTTTTGGTCCGCACACCTGTTTTTTCTAGTAGTTTCCGTCCACGCGTTTCTTCGGCAAGGGAGTTTTGGTCCACTTACCAATTAATTGCGACCCAAAGTTAATTGGATTACATTTTGCATTCTGGAACTACAGTTTCTGCCCCAGTTTAGAAACAACGTATGTTCTATTAGTTTCCCCATGCACATGCATGTTTTTACGGATAAGTCAGTAATTATAGTTCCTAATTGCATAATGTAAAACAATTGATCCACATGTAAATACAAACGACAACTGGTCATGACACTTTGGATGAAAATGTATGATGTCTTGGAAGAGTGAGGGTTTGCTTGTTTTTTTTTTTTTTTTTTTTTTTTTTTTTTTTTTTTTTTTTTTTTTTTTTTTTTTTTTTGTCCAACGGCAAAAAATATGTAATTAAGTATTGGAGTTGTATTGTATATTATGGAGGAGCGTGAATTACATGAAGGAAAATTCACTAAAACTCTCCACGCCTCTTTGGTACAACAGAGCTTGATTATCATTCTAGAAATTCCCATCTTGTTATACCTGAACCGGATAAACCTTTTGGTTTGCCTCAGCTAAATGTACGATAACTTCGCGACGGCGCAGTATCATACGAAATTGAAGGCACCCCAACATATCATGATTGATGGTATCTTTCAAAAGCACGAAGTTCCCTCGCGAATTAAAGCGAATGACGCCGACAAAAAAAGTGTTACTCGAAAAACTTACTGAGTCCTAATATCTGCATTCAATAACGTTTAGCATGATTTTTGAACTTCATTAGAGGAGAAAGTGGCTTGATTCAAGCAGAAATATGCTCAAATTTACCGCCAAGAATGAATTTTTATGAATCTTTATGAATCAAATAAGAATAAAATACATGTTTAAAGAAAAAAAGATACTTTTTTGGTTTGGTTGGCTTAAAATCTCAATACAGAGAGAAAAGGCTCATATGAGCACAGTTTTCCCTTAAAGAGATATGCTTTTTGGTGCAACACTAACGTTTTTTTAACGAACTTTGGCAAAACAAAAACTCCAACAAACCGTCTTACGACCCGTGCGTCCACCGCAATCAGTTTCTAAAAGATGGTTCTTTCAAAGGAAAGTCACTTACATCAAGCAGAAACCCGTTTTCATTCAGCAATTTTATTCTTGATTCGAAGAAAATCTTCTTGACAGCATGCTCAACAATGTTTCTGCCTCGATCGAGTTAATTTTTTCTCTAATGAAATTCAATAATTATGCTAAACGTTATTATAAATACGGATGCTAGGACTTGAGTTTTCAGACTACCGCTCTCTTTTTGCGCCGTAGTAATTTGATTTATTTTGCGAGGAAAGCTCCGTACTTATAATAGATGCCTGTAATTCTCAATATGTTGAAAAACCTTCAATTTCATATGGTGCTGTGCAACTCATCTATTGTGAAATTGTCGCTTGAGGCGTCTGGGGACGCCTTGCGGCGCGGCGCGGCGCAGCGGGCGGACGGCGACGGCCATCGCGACACGCGCACGGGCGCCTACAAACCTAAAGGGATACTTCAAGCATTGCGCAATGCGTGAAGTATCCCTTTAGGTTTGTAGGCACCAGTGCGCGTGTCGTTCTGGTAGCACACCGCTCCGCTCTTTGTTAGCCTCTAAAATTTAAACTCAGGGAGTCAGCGTTTTTCGCAACTCGTGATTTTAAAATATTTGCACACTCTGCGTGGATTATTCTCATTTAAATTTATGGGGAAAAAATATGTACTAATGGAAAATATAGTGTGTGTTTTGTAAATATTAAGGTGGCTCCGTTTCAAATTTAATGATTTCCAAAGCTTTTTAATTTCTTCTTTTATATTTTGTGCTTTTACCGTGCTGCAGCGTGGTGTCGCGCAACCAAACGCTCAAAATTGGACGTATTTGATTCTAAAAGATCAATGTGCAAATGGGCTAAAACCAAAGATTGCGTGCTGCTTGATTTTTATCCCTCTCTAATTCATTTTCGTATAGTTTATTTTAACTCAGCTACGACTGATTGAGATTAATATCGATGGCATCGTTTTGAAAAGGTTCTACGAATAGTAGAGGTACTTATTGTACCAATTTCGAGGTTACCTACAAATATAGAGGTGGAAAAAAAAACATTAAATTTTAAGCGAATTCACAATACTTCTCCGGCTTAACGATAAATAAGTTGAAAGAGAACTCTTTCAATTCCTAAAAACGTATGTATCCGTTATTAGTCGACCTCTCCAAAACGTCGACCTACCGCAAACGTAAACAGTACTTATTGAAACAGCTTCCTTTCGTTATGCTTCGTTGACATGAAAATGGCGGTAGCTTTCACTTCTGTTGACGTTAGTCTCTTTATCCTATGCCTCAAGCAGGATTTGACTGCTTTCTTCATTTTACTCTTTGCGCAGATGCAAAACGTCAATATAATCGGGGCGGCAAACCAGTGCAACTTAATTACGAGTCAAACGGACCCTATGCTTCGGAGGCAGATCGACCTGACATGCTTTGAAGTGTTCCGTGCACTGGATCGGCTTTCACTGAACACCGGCTGCCCGGGATGGTCTGACGCCAAGTGCCGTCTGATATCCCCCGGTGACGCCGTCTACCAATGCAGCGTCAAGGTGCCAAACCAAGTGTCATGGTGCGGTGTCGTCCAGCACGGACCACAGACCATTTTCGACTGCGCGCCGGCCCTCCGACCAGCGGACCCGTCCGGCGGAGACAGACCCCAGTCCAGACCAACCTCACCGGGAAGGGCCGATAAGGGCAAAGCGCCTGTCCAAGGAAGAGGCAAGAGTCGCAGAATTGATAGTGGAAGCGCAGCAAATCCATTTTATACCGCGGGCTCTACACAGTCTGCAGGGTTTTCATACGCGGGAGGCTCTCCATACGCTAGGGCTGCTCCATTCGCTGGAGGTTCTTCATTCGCGGAAGGCTCTCCATACGCTGGAGGCTCTTCATTCCCCAGAGGTTCCTCGTACCCTGGAGGTGCTGCACCTCAGGGATATACCCGCCCGGGAACTCCTCAATATACCACGCATTCGGATCCCACTAAAAACCCCAATTTCACTATAGATGATCTCTTCAGGGACGATCCCTCACTGGATTCAATTTTTGAAAATACAACACCTGCTGCTGCTCCTCTCATTCCACCCCCTGGCTACATTACAGATGAATCATTCGATGTAGGGGAAATGTTAGGTCCTTCGTTTGGTCAAAATGCACCTTTTGACATTCCGCAACTTCCCTTAAGTCCTCCGATTCCCACAAGTCCACTATTCCCTTCAAGTCCTTTGCGTCCTTCGTATGGTCAAAATCCACCTTGGCCACAAATTACTCCATATTCTGGATACAATCAGGGTGGAGATGGATCCGTTGCACCCAGTTCTCCGCCTAGAAGTTCATCCGGAGTTAGACGGAGTCCATCTGGAGGTGAAGGTGCGTATATATTCTTGAATTTCCCTGACAAATATTCTCTACTCTTTCGTGCACTGAAAAAGAAACACAGTGGATCTTGAGTCCAGACTCTTGAAAACATTGACAAGAACAAATACTCTTGATTCAATCGGATTTTTGCTCGAATCAAAACGAAATCCGCTTAAATTAAGAGGCTTGGTTCTTGATTTAAGCTAGATTCTGATCGAATCAAGAGTACTTTTTCTTGTCGATGTTTTTAAGAGTCTGGAATCTAGATCCAATGTGTTTTTTTTTCCAGTGTATGATCTTTCAAACCCCTTTCGAAAATCGTGAAAATTTTAGGAATCATGGAAAATTACATGTGAAAGTATAGTTAAATGAGGAATTTTTTGAGAAAAACGGTGAATCAAGCGACGGAAATCCGCAGTACACGTTCTTTGGATATCTCTCCCTATCCCGTGAATAGCTGTACACATCTCAACACAAGATCTACAATTCTACTTACACAGATCATGAACATGGCATTGGTTTCCATGAAGCGGAAATTTTCGGTACATCCGCACCCCAAAATATTCCACATTTGGATCTAAGATTTTCGGTTGAGGCTGCCGCGATGTAAGAAAAGTACGGAATACTCGGCATAGTGTTCAATTTTTCCGAATTGCGGCAGTTGGGACTAAAAATTTACGCTCCAGACGCCGTGTGTTTCCAAAATTGTACATCGCTAGAACAATTTTTATCGCGTAGGTTTGAACACTAAAATCGTCGTTTGAAGTTAACGCAACGCTAAAAATCGGATTTTCCGACTCCCGTCCCTTGATTACCCTTCGCACCGTATCGTATTCGTGAGTTAGGCTTAGAATTCCTCTTCCTTCCCTGGGAGCCACGTATTTCACAAACGACCTCAATGGACCACTAGACAGGGCGTAACTTTAAGTATTATGCTGTCGTTAAAATTTCAAAGGGAACACGGTTTGTGCAAAAAAAAGATCGGACGTAATTTCTGACCAAACTCTTGACGTTTTTCGATGCATAAACTTGAATTTTCCACGCATAAAAAAAGACCATTATCTACTCGAGTAAAATCTAACCATTATAGTCTCTGCTCTATGAAACTATGGTGACCTCAATTTTGCTCTTGTCCAGTGGTTCTTTGCCAATGAGCTTGTTAACCTGTTTCTAATTCTCTAAATTGTAAATTTGACTTGTGCCAGAGCTTTTTACCATAGGATGTATGCATCAATAAATTCTATCTATCTATCTATCCGTCCGTCCGTCCGTCCGCCCGTCCGTCCGTCCGTCCG